CGCGGGCGGGCTCAGGTGCGCGGTGGGAGGAGCAGAGCCCCACAGGTGCCTTCTCCCTGCGCCTGCGCCCTGCGCGCCCCGCCTTCGCAGGTGCGCCCCGCCCCGCCCTGGCCGGCCACCTTCTGTAGCTCCTTCCAGGCGCCCGCCATTGGGTCCAGCGCCCACCGAGCGTCTGGAGGTGTGACGGGGCTCCGAACGGTGGGGGAGGCGCTGCGTGTCGCTGGCTGGGGGCAAACGGGCGAGTGAGGAGCGTTCTCCCGCACTGTGGGCGTAGGAGGCAGACAGTCCGCACACCGAAGGTCCGAGACAGCGGCTTCCCGGAGGCTCGGGCCTGAGCGCCAGCGCCGCCGTCCCCTGAGCGCCCGCACCTGAAAGCGAGGCGCTGCAGTGCGCGTGCGCGCCGAGGGGCGTCCCGCACCTGATCGCGAGACCCCAACGGCCGGCGGCCGGGTGCAGCCCGTCATGGCGCAGCTGCGTGGGCGGTGGCGGTGCGGGGCGCTCCTCGCCCTGCTGGCAGCGCTGCTCCTTTTCCGGGCCGAGGCGGCCGACGGCGAACGCGACGTGCACGGTGAGGACCTGGGCGGGTCTCCTGGGAGGAGCGGATGGCCGAGAGGCCGAAGGCGGGCACTGGGGACAGGATGAGGGGTAGCTGGGGTCCAAGAGGCTCTCGGCAGGGTCTGTGCCTGGTGAATAGGCCGGGGAGGATATTGGAGGCGACTTGTTGAAGCTCTGGGAGTGTGGTGGAGCCAACCCTGGGAGACTGAGCCTCGAGAAGAGTTTGGGAGCCCTTGTGAGTGAGGACGGGCGGAGGAGCCAGGATTGGGAAAGTTTCCTGTGGGCGACAGAAGGGACACGTGCTACTGACTGAGGAACAGCATTGTCCCTACCTGTGGCTAGAAGGGATGAGAGGCCCACCAGAAAACCAGCGTCTTTCTGGCAGCGGAAAGTGCCACGGCCCAGAAAAGCCCAGGGACCTGGTGGCAGTTTTAGCTTCTGGGAAGCCCCCACCCGCACCCCTTTAGTTATTGGACATCAGCCTCCTGAGAAACCTTTGTGGTCCAGTTGCCGTGGAGCGCCACTAAGAAGGAAGGTGATTCTCAGTGATACCCACAGGAAGGAGAAATAAAGCGAAAGTGTTGGAGGAGAGAAATTTTGCCGGACGCGAGGGTGGGGCGCCTTGGTGTAAGGCGAGTGCTGGCTTTGGGGAGCTGGGCTTGGAGTCATTGGATTTGTCTTTAAGAGACTGGTGGAGGATAAGGTCAGATTTTAACCTTAATACGCTAAGGAAGTTCGGGTCGAAAGGGCTTTTTGAACAAATGTTATAATCTCAGCTGCTTCAGACAAGCACAAGCGGGGTTTGAAAATAACTTGAAAGAATAATTTCATTGATTCAGCAAAACTTATCAAGCCCCTGTTATGTGCACCGGACTTGCTGGCATAGGTGATAACAGTTGTGATTCAGACAAGCCAAGGTCCCTGCACTCAGAGCTTGTATTCTGGTGAGAGAGACAGTGAGTAAACATTTAAATAAAGAGCACTCACCACAATATTCAATTACTAAGAAAATGAACAGGGCAAAGTACACAAATGGGGTGATGTAAGATGATGGGGGCCACTTTTTTTTTTCCAGCATAATCAGCTAAAATTGTATTCTCTTATGAATAAACAACAGATTCCAAATTCCACTTTTTCCCCTAAAAAGTATGCCATCCAAATTCTATGTATATTTTTTTGAGGCAGTTTGCTTCTCTGACCTCGCTCTCTGACTTGCCCTGTGACCCAAGGCAAGTATAAACATGTGTGTTTTTGTGCCCCCTCTCCTGGTCTTTTCTGTACTTCAGCAAGACCATGTTCCTAGAACTGTGCCCCCTCTCTGCCCCTCCCCCCACCCCGTGGGGTCTGGTATGTGAACAAAGAAGCCAGCCAGCGCTGCAGGTCTTGTAAGATCCACAGGGGACGAGAAACAGATCTGAAACGTGCCTGGCATCCTTTTTGAGAAATGAAATGCTCTCCAGGGGGAAAAAAGTCATCATAAAAAGCACTTGGTAGTACATTTTTGAAAATATGTCTGATAGGGGCCACTTGATTTAGGTCGGTAGTCAAGGGAGGTCTCTCTGAGGAGAGCAACCTCTGAGCTCCAAGATGAAGAATGAGAAGGCGGCAGCTACACAAAGACCTCGGGGACCAGTGTCCAGTTAGTTGGAAATAATGGAGTACAAAGGCCCTGAGGCTGGAACACGCTTGGTGGTTTTCAAGGAAGAGACTGAGAAGAGCCAGCCTGCGTGGCTGGAGCAGGAGCGGGGAGGGGCGAATGTGAGGTGGGAGAAATGGGCAGGAGCCTGGCGGCCTTATAGGCCAGCATATTAGGCGAAAAGAAAAAGCAGGATGTGCGTGCACGTCGTCATGGCCTGCAGTGACTTCTGAAGAACTTAACTCCCCTATGCCCAAGGCAGAGAGAGAAAAACAAGTTAACGGGACCTCAGGGGCCAGCTCTAGAGGACCAGAAATCGGTAATGCAGCCGGTCATCATTCCTGCAAGTCTGAACTAGGACCAGTCAGCCCTTCTGAACTTTTTTAGGTGAAGTAATTATGTTAGGATATACAGTACCTTCCAGCTGCCTGGCCTGGGACTATCAAAACAGTTTGGGGCTAACATCTATTGCTTACTCTGAGCTCGGGTATGTTACTTAATCCTTGCGATAACCTGGTGCAGTGCTGAAGTTACAGGTCTTGTCTAAGGTCACACAGTAGTAATTGAATTGACGAAGCCAGGTCTGGCTGCAGAGGCCTTCTCTGTTCGCAGTGGCCTCGCTGGCTCCTGGAGCTGGCTGGACCTGCTGACCTTTCAGAAGTACTCCTGCCTGGCTGGCCAGGTCAGCTAATGCCCTCACTTATCTGAAGTTGTTTGTTTGAAAGCTTTCAACAGCCTAATTCGAGGCAGGAGGTTGCTTTGATTTTCTCAGAAGTGGGTCATCCACTGAGTTGAGTGTGAGGTGTTTTTCTAGCCAAATGCAGCCGCATGGGCGCTGCCAGATGAATTGGGTGGAGAGAGGAAAGTGTGTAGTGAACATGTGTAAAGGGGTGATTCCAGTGGTTGGTCAAGGAATTTCAACTGTGTGAAGACATGAGCGGGTAGAGGGGTCGTGGAAAGGCGGTAGAGCCAATGGATCATTGGAGTTGAGGTTTTGGAGGGAAAGAACTAGAAAGATAGGATGTGATGGGCAGTGAGTGAGATGCGTGAAACTGGGGTTCTGAAGAGGCTGCAGTTATCAGGTTATCTAGGCGTGACCCTGAGAGGGAGAGGCTGCGAGGAGGACGGGATCACTGGAGGGGAGGAGGTCTAGGAGCCAAGAGAGGACCAGGATTTGGGGGAGGATGGAGTGAGAATGGTCTGGAAGTACCTAGGAGCAAGGAGACTTACCCCCTTGGAAGGGCATAAGAGAAGGCGTATCCTCAGGGGAGAGCCTGGTAGGTTAGAGATAAGAAAGTGACAGTGTTCAGAGAAGAGATTGAGAAAATGAGAGATTTTAAGATAGGTCATAAGTACCAGAGGCCCCAGGAGTTGGGGGAAGGGAGATGGTGACAAAACAGGATGTGTGGGGATGAAGAGTAACTCAGGAGGCTGGGGGATCAGAGCAGTGTCATGTGGTCTCAAGACTGACAGTGCTAGTGAGGTGCGGGTGGTGGGGGGCAGATGGGAAGGGGTGTGGGATGTAGTGGCAAAGGGTGTCCTTGCTCCAGGTGTCTCTAGCATGCAGGGAGAGTGCCAGCCTGCCATGGAAAACACAAAGAGATTATAAATTGACTGTTTCCTGGAGGCCACTAACAGACTTTATGTGACTTGTACAGTTTCTAGAATTGGGAATTTTTTTATGGAAAAAATTGAGTGTTGGCTTTGTCAGAAAATATGAAGGTCTGGTGGCACCAGGCCTATGTTCCCACATAGCACCAATGGGCTGGGGCCCATTACTCCTGTGGACAGGACAGTACTGCTCTGCCTCAGTCTGTTTATTCACTTGGCCTGCCCTCTGTATCTATAAACATTTGAGTTGTGACTGCCACCTTAAGAATTTGTTCTGTATGGTAAATGGAGGAGGATAAAACAACTATAAATTGTGCAGTGCAGCGAATGTGTGTATGTGTATTATTGCTGTTAGGGAGGGAAAAAACCCTTATCAGGTGGCGACAACGTGCATTGTTTTTTCTCTCTTCCCCAGGTGATAAGTCCTGGTATTTGGAGGGTCCCCCAAATATCTAATTTTGATCAGTACAAAGACAGATAATGTATTCCTCTTCAGAATAGAACCTCTAAAATTCCTTTAGGGAGTGGTCAGTTAGGTGTAGTTTCTGCTGCCAATACCTGGACTGGGGCATCAAAACTTTTGTTAGTGGTTACTTGGCTCATAGTTCTTTGTTAATTTTTCTTAGAACTTTCCACAGGAGATAAGTGCAGCAGCATTTATTTGAAAGTCTCCACTTTACCTAAAAGAGTGAACTTTCCAGCAAATCTCCAATACGTAAGTGTGTTATTAGTCACCACACTTCTCCTCATCCCCAGGGATCGTTGTAAACTGGGTGGTCAAAGACACGGCGACAGAAAAGAGCTAAGGTGCAGCTGGTGTCAGTGATCAGCTGGTGGGTCTCCGTAGTAGCCTCTTCCCGTATCCTTGTCCCCCACAGGAGAGGCCCTTGTTCTGCTTACAGGCAAGACAGTTTGGTTCCAGGACAGTCTGAAATATTTACAACACATTTATTGAGCACCTACCAAGTTTTACTTTTAAGCCCTGGAAATAGGGCACTGAACAACAGAGATGGCCTTCAATCCATGGCAGTTACATTGTGATGAGAGGAAGACAATGATACAATAAAGAAATGAACGACACGTGTCTGGTGATGAGTGCTGCGGGAAAGGTAGGCTAAGTTTTGGTGTGCTTAGTACTCAAAACATGGCCTTTGAGACTCAAATGGTCACAGTCCCTAAAGAACATTGAGGGCCTTGCTTTTGGTCGACTGAGAGAGAGTGGACCTTTCCCTGAAAAAAGAAAGTGGGAAAAGATACTTTCCACCAGAAACAACTTTTGCCCTGGTCAGCATTTGAGAGCAGAGCCTGTGGTAGAGAAAGCAGACTTCTGTCACCCAGCCCCTACCAGTTTCTCATTTTACCTATCCCCAGAGTCATTTGCTCGCTCAGGTTTATCTCTTGGTAGTTGGCCAGGCAACCAAGCCTGTTTACCGTGTCCTGAGGCTGACAGGAGAGGCCAAATAGGGGATGAGGTCACCTGGGATGCATGTGAGGAGGGGAGAGAACCCTGAAGGGGTCACAACAAAATGACTTCATTATCCCCAGGAGGCCTTGGTGGTCCACTGGTCACATGACTAATGCAGAATTCACAGCTGAGGCCAGTATCATTAGCATGTGGATTATAGATGTCTTTGTAGGATTCTGGTCATATGTCATTTCACATGTTTCTGATAAGATCTTTTTGAAAACACCATATGAAGAAATGTGAGACCCAGAAATTTGGAGTTTAGTTGCTTCAAAGTTTATTTGAAGTACATTTTTCATTA